CATCCGACTAATTTTTTGATTTATTGTAGAGATGAGGTCTCGCTGCCCAGGCGAGTCTCGAACCCGCGGGCTCAGGCAATCCACTCACCTCAGCCTCCCAAGGCGCAGGATTACAGGCTGAGCCACCGAGCCCGGCTTAATTTTTTTTTTTTAAAGGCAAGATGTATTGAGAGGACAGAAAAGCTCCCACAGTGGGAGGGAAGCCAAGGGGGTTGCCCTTGTTTTTTATTTCTTGTAGAGATGAGGTCTCCCTAAGTTGCTCAGGCTGGTTTCGAACCCATGGGCTCAGGCAATCCTCTTACCTTGGCCTCCCAAAGTGTTTTGGATTACAGGCGTGAGCCACGCCTGGCCTGCCTCAGTCTTTGTGTGTGTGTGTGTGTGTGTGTGTGTGTGTGTACGTGTGTGTGTGAGTTTCACTCTTGTCACCCAGGCTGGAGTACAGTGGGATTACAGGCTAAGCCACCGCACCTGGCCTGCCTCAGCTTTATAAGTAGCTGGACCTATAGTCGCATGTCACCAAGCCCGGCTAATTTTTTTTTTCAATTGTACAGACAAGGTCTCACCAAGTTGCCCAGGCTGGTCTTGAACCCCTGAACTTAGGCAATCCTCTTGCCTTGGCCTACCAAAGCACTGGGATTATAGGCTTGAGCCACCATGCCTGGCCAATTTTTAAATTTTTCTGTAGAGCAGAGGTCTCATTTTGTTGCTCAGGCTGGTCTCAGACTTCTGGACTCAAGCGATCCTCCCACCTCGGCCTCCCAAAGTGCTGGGATTATAGGCATGAGCCAATAATGAGTTTTAAGAGGCCATCTGACCCAGGGCACTTCAGAAAATAAAGGGAAATCCTGTGGAGCCCTGCTTGCATGGGAGTGGTACCCCAACTCACAGGCCAAAGAGAAGGGTAGGTGAGCAACTCAAGTGCCCAGGAATGGCTTGGTAATTCATCTTTTTTTGTCCCCTCTTCTCTCCTGCATGAACGTCCCCTCCATCTCAGCCAAGGAGAGGAAGAAGAGGTTGGCCTCAGCTTTCAGGGCCCACCTTTTTAGGGGAACAAGTGGCCCCTCTCAGGCCTGTTTCTCCCAGAAGGGCCCCATTCTGGACAGCTCACGGCGGCAGCAGGTGAGAGGATCTTGCCAGCTGCTCTTCTCTCCACCCCAGACCAGCTTGTTTCAGTCTCTCCTCTATCCGCCTCCTCTTCCAGAATCCAGGCCACCAGATGGTCTGAACAGGCTGTGTTTATTTGGGGCCATGGAAACCTGCAGCTTTCTTTTCCTGTTGCCTTGGGTCAGCGGCAGGGCTGGAGCCCAGCTTCAGAGCAATGATGCCCTGAAAGTTCTGACTTTATTCTTCATAATCCCTTAGTCCTCGGCCCAAGTGAATGCCTGGCTTTGCTCCCCTGAGCAGCTTATTCCAGTCACCATGGAGATGCCTCTGTTCCCTTTGAGGTCTTGGGACTGAGACAGGGAGGAACCCAGGAGACTCCAGCCTAGAGCCCAAGAAGAGCATGTCAATTGCCACCCCATCCTAGTTTGCACATACAAAGCCAGTGCCTGGAAGGTGGTTTATTCCCTCTTAAAGACTTTGCCTATCAATGGTACTGAGGTGGTAAAGGCTTGATTTAATGGCAATCTGCTATTTCAATCAGCCAGCATCCCCAGGGGTATGGTTTTCTAGGTAATTTTGTTTTTTCCTTAAAATAGAACTCTTTGAGCTGGGCTCGGTGGCTCAGCCGTAATCCCAGGCCTTGGGAAGGCTGAGGTGAGTGGATTGCCTGAGCCCTCAGGTTCGAGACCTGCCTGGGCAGCGAGACCTCATCTCTACAAAAAATCAGCCGGGCTCGGTGGCTCAGCCTGTAATCCCGTACCTTTGGGAGGCTGAGGTGAGTGGATTG